AGAAAGTTAAACCAAGACCCAGCGCCGGATTAACCATAAGGCGAATTGCGCGATCGCCCAGGGGCGAAAAGTCAAAGGGGGCGAAAAATTTCGAAAAAGCCTTAAGAAAAATAAGAGGAAAAAAATTAGAAAAGCAGACAGCAAATTGACAAAAACTCGACTTCCTACACAAAATTGTAAAGTTTTAAAGAAATAAAATATCCGACAAAATAGTTTACCTACAACCAAAAGTTTTCCGAGATACAAGTTTTTTCAAACATAAAACCCTTATTCAAGGAAAAACAGCCCAATGTATGTGTAACCTAATCAAGAATAATACACACTACTATTACAGGATAGCCTATGCTCATAAGACTTGTGTAGAACAAATCTGAAACCCCCCACCACGCTAAATCACCAGTTGCGACGTAGGCAGCATGTCGTTTCTCGCCTTGACGTAGGCAGTTTGCACCACAGGTTATGATCCCGCGGGCTTCTTCTTTATGCATACTTGTATTTCTACAATGATTAACATTCTAGAACAACTCCTTAGATCTCGTTTGCATCTTCCTCTTTGCCTATTAGGTTAATCAAAATTAAATTATATTTTTCATCATAAATTTAAATTCTAAACTAGGCTAAGACCGCTGGCGCTAATAGCTAACGACTTAGTTGATGACGTCGGTAATGGTGATACACCAATAGGGCAATCCAACGACCTGTCAAAATGAAATTCAAATTGGAGGCCAATGCCTTTTTAAACCGTGCGTTCGTTATTTTGGTCTGAGTTCTCCGAGCTTGACTTTACCGTTCGTTTATTTAAAAAGTGTACTCGGTGCAGCCTCATTCGCGTTCGTTTATTAAAATTTCCGGTACTTTTATACAGCGTTCAACTGCTCCGTTCGCTCGCTGGTCACGTGATTACGGCTCCGCTCAGCTCGCTCTACACTTTGAGCAAAATACCGAACGCAAGGATAATTAAAAAAAATGCCGTTTTATTGCGATTTTTGATTTTTATAAAATCTGTAGTGTTGATTTTTTGGAAATTGCATACGCTATATATTGTACTTTGTTGTGGAATCCGTTTTTATCGCGAGAAAGTCTTGTTTCATGTCGTTCCTGCCTAGACAAAACACACAGGTTTTTAACAGAGAAAAATGATTTGTCTGTACTTTGTGAGGGCTTCATGGATTGTAGAAAAAGAGAAAAAATCTTACGAAATCCATATTAAAAAACCAAAAAGTCTCTCTACATAAATGGTGTATGGATCCAAACCATTTACTATCCTCCACATCAGCTTGTGTCGATACCTTGAATAGCAGACAAATAAAATATAAAATATACATCAGGATTCAGGATTTGGTTTAAACAGGAAACAAATCCTGGATAGTACCTACGTAATTGTTTAGTAGGTAAAGGTTTGTCACAAAGAAATCATACCTTTTGCAAACATTCGAGTTTTCCACTAATAATTTCTTGAACTAAAAACTTTCCATCTAAAAACACTAAAAAATACACAAAAAACAGTTTTTTAATGAAAAATGTCACGGTTGTTTGAATTAAATTTATGGCGCCAATTTTTTGGCATTGACCGCCATTTTATTGTTTGGATTGCCCTATATGGGGCGCGTTTGGGTTCACGCTCGGTGCACTCAGAGCATGCACTTTTGTCTCTCTTCCGTTATTTTTGAAGCTCCGACGACGCTTGATTGTGTTTGGTTTGACATATTTTGAGCGCTCAGAGCGAGCTCGATAAACTCCAAGTTTGTGGGGTGGGCAACTAGAGCGTGCATGCGCAGTTTAATCTCTATTTTGTTTGTATAACCTAAACTATTTTCCATGATAAGATAAATAAACAATCCTGAATTTTAACATATACTTGTTAGATGGATAGTTTTAGCTATTTTGTTTAAATGTTAACAATCAAATAGCTAGTAAATTCTGCATAATTGTTTAGTTTTAATTAAATTTTCTCGATAGTCCTCATCACTGGTATTATTGAACATATTTTTTCAAGGGAACTTGGCAGCCTCAGAGTGTTTAAGTCCGTTTTATTGTTTATGTAGCACGAAATTTTTTGCAGAATACAAAAGAAAATCGGGCTGTTTGAAAATTATCGAGTATAATACAAAACAAACGTGAAAACTCTGGTGCAAATGCGGAATGCGGGCTCGGTCTCCAAAAAATATATGCTAAGAAAAATAAACAGTAAATCAGCTGATCGCTCAACCCTGCATTTTTGCACAAGTTTATTTGGCTTGACACGGAGTACTCCCTGTGACGTCACGTTCCTCCATAATCGCTCTACTCGCTCCGCCGAGCGTCAACCCAAACACGCCCATGGTCGCAGATTTATATCTTTAAAGATTCTTGTTTAAAACCAACAAAAAAATGTTAAGGTGCATGACAGTTTCTTACAAATGTTCAACTTTAGTTTAAAACTAGGCTAGGTACAGTTTTCTTTCATCAGTAACTATGACAAATAATACAATCTTTCTTGGTATTTCCTAAACTAAGTATTATTTGTTTTACATACTTGAAGCATCTTCAAATTAAAAAATTAAAAATTAGCCCTAACCTAAGTATTTGTCTTTTTTATATTAAAGAAGAATCTTAATGATATAAGCCAGAGCCTCGAAGGGAGCGAAATGATTTTAATCACACAGGGGCGAAAAAAGGCTTAATTCGCCCCTGCGGCAAGACCACTCCATCTAATTTTTTAAACAAAATTTGAAACAAATTGACAATTCACGCATAATACGATATGATAATACACGAAGCATCCTCCAAAAATTAAATAATTTTTCTACGAACGTGCGGAAAATCGATTTTTTCGCACCGCTGTCAGAAAAAAAACTGATAAATCACTACAAATTATCTAGGTATACTCATTTTCGCACGTCTGTAGAGAAACTATTGTACCTGACACTCGTTTTTTGAAGCCCTCTACCACGCCAAATCACCAGTTGTGATGTAGGCAGCATGTCGTTTCTCGCCTTGACGTGGGCTGTTTGCACTACCGGTTATGTTATGATTCCGCGGGCTTTTGCTTTGTGCACACTTTGTTTTACTAGAGGAACGGAACGCGCTGGCATTGAATGGTTTGAGTTCGGGCTTGAGCTCTTCAGGTGCAACAAAAACCGAATTTTCGCGACGAATGTAGTCTTGTGACGTCATGTGTTTGAACGCTGGCTAGAAACTGCGTCCATGCTACCGGCGAACTACGTTCAATATGACGTCATTAGTTTTTCGCGGAAGCGTTTGTGTTCATGAAATCATGGAAGTAGTTCGTTGCGAAAATTCGGTTAAACACTTTTCGAAAGAAATAATCGCGTAGCGCCTGCCTCGGAGTACTTCCGGAGCTCGTCCTAGGTGTGAAAGGAATACAAGTACTATTATAGGTGATACACCAATTTGACGGCGATTACCAAAAACGAGACCGATAAGCAATCTTTAGTAATGTGTATTATCCTTAGCTCTCGTTAGCCTGCTCATTAGTTTTGCATATGTTGTTCATCATACATTTACTTCCGGAAAGCATCGTACAGACCTGAACATTACGCCGAACAACAAACAGAACAACGAACGACACTAATTTGGTTGGACGGGCTACGAACTAGTTTGCAAATAGGTTCGCCCAAAGGCAAATCCTGACCGTTCGGCGAATTGTTTGCGGCGTTCCCGTCACTCGAGGGAACAGTACGAACGTTATCCGTTTGTGGTTCGGATCGTCAAAATCGAAGAAGGCCGTTCGCCGCAAGGATAATATACACTTTTTACATTCGTTTTTGGTAATCGCCCCCATATTGGTGTATCACCATTGTCGTCGTCATTAACTAAGTCGTCGGTTGTTTGCGCCAGCGGTCGTAGTTTAGAATCTTAATTCATCATGGAAATTATTATTTAATTCAAATTAAACATAGGTTCCGTATATAGACTTTCACTCACCAATCGGTAACAAGCGGTTACGACGTTGGTTATTTTGGTGAGAGATAAAATTATCAGCTTCCAGAAAACCATGTCCCGTAAGTTGACTTTTTTCAGGAACTAATATATTTGGGACACCAAACCAAGAAGTTGGTTAAAATATTAAATACATATAAGTTGTATTCTTTCCTAGAGTTTAAAGCATCAGAGCTACTTGCTCCGGTGTTAGTCGACCCCGCTTTGAAAGGAACAGATGCGCTGGCTTTCATGCATTTTAAATGGTTTGACTCGGGCTTGAGCACTCAAGTGCAACAAACACTTTTCGAAAGGAATAAGCGCGTAACGCCCCGGAGCTCCTCCTATGTGTGAAAGGAATACAACTATACGGAACATATACTAATTCTGAATAACATATTTTAGCCTGCGTTCGGCATTTTGCTCAAAGAGCAAAGCGTGCTGAAGCGAAGCGTAATCACATGACCAACACCAACGAGCGCACAGAGCAGTTGAACACTGTAAATAAGCGGTAACTTCAAGCTCGGAGAACTCAGATCAAAATACGGAACGCCCGGATAATATGCAAATAGGAAGATGCCAACGAGATGTAAAAAATAGTTGTTGAATGTTAAATGTAGTAAAACTTATGCACAAAACAAAAGCCCGCGGAATCATAACCTGTGGTGCAAACAGTCTACGTCAAGGCGAGAAAGGACATGCTGCCTACGTCACAACTGGTGATTTTGCTTGTAGGGGGCTTCAGATTTGTTTTACACAGGCCTTATGAGGATAGGCTATCCTGTAGTAGTAGTGTTAGCAAGTTATCCTTCGTTCGCCGTTCTGTTCGCTGTTCGGGTCTATACCAAGCTTTACATTTCGCTGTAAGCCCAAGGTTGTTTGAGAGAGGTAGGTTGCCCTAATAACTTTATGACGTCATCTGGGGTGCCTCAACATAATACAAATCTCCATAAGGCAACAGATGCGTCAAGTTACAAGTTACCCATTACTACAGTAACCAGCATTACCAGCAAACAGCAACCTTTTAACTTAAGGAACTTTGCTGTGAACCTACCTTTAGGAAAAAATCGTGTCGAGAAGTCGAGACAGAACATGATACATCATAACCTCACAATTATTCTATCTTTAGATTTTCAGCTTCAACTTTTTTTTCAAAAACTAAAACTGTTTCAAAACAAATTTTTCACATGAATTTTTGAATTAGTATATCAAATTTTACCAAAAATGAATATCGCCCGTTTAAATCGGAACCTGACATCTCGTATTTTAACAAAATCAAGAAGTTTGGCAACAACCGCAGTAACAGCACCTCAACAAGAAGATGATGAATACAGTGCCACCCCGCAATACCCACCAATTTTGGATCTTTCAGTAGAGAAAAAACTCGAAAGAAAACGAGCTACAAAATCTGATGAAATTAGAAATGCTAAAACCGTCGAGGAAAAGCAACTTAAAATTAATATGCCTAGGTAATAAATAGACTAATAACTGGAAAATCGAGTCTTTTTGACTCATTCATTTTTAGATACTACGGTTTTAAAAGTTTCATGTTCTTTGAAGAACATATACCTTATAACAGCTTATCACTGGCTCAACATGTAACAAGAACACATTTAATTAAAACTAAAGATTTACCAGAGTATTACCAAAACATTGATGTAGAAGATTTAGAAATCATATCAAAAGATGTCCAGGAAACATTATTAATGGAAATTGATGGAATTCAGTGAGTAACTTACAAGGTTTAATAATGTTGAGTATTTACATATTATGATTTTAGAAGACAACATCATCTGAAAAATGCAGATTTCACCGATGTCCAAAAAGAAAACTATTTGGGTTCTAGCATTGTGAAAAGCATTAACAGAGCTTTGAATAATGTTTTGGTTCATAAATATCCCCATATTGTGAATAATGAGGTAATGATTCAATTTATCTTCAATCATTCACATTTTTACATAAACTTTGTTTCATGAGAGTTCATACTTTTGACAAAATTTGCCTTCCTTTTTTAACAAATATAAATTGACTGAAACAAATCAATGAAGTGAAAAACGTTCATCAGTTCTTAAGGCCTAAAACACACGGAGCAGTTTCTGCCGAATCAGCACCGATTGGGCGGAGGAGCGGCTCGAAACACAGGCAGCGTTACCGCTTCGGACGGATCAACTAATTCAAAGTCAAAGTCAAAGTCAAAAAATGCTTTATTGTCTAAGAACAAAATTCTCGTTGACAAAGCTGTAAAAGGGGGAAAAAAAAAAACATTATACAAAAATAATTCCAGGGCCATAGAGTACCAAGATTGAAATAATCAAAATAAAAATACAATACAAGGTCAGACTAAAACAATAAAATCATTTAAACAGTCATTAAAACAAAAGATGAAGTCACTTTAAAAATCAACATAAATATAAACATAAATCAACATAAATACAAAAACATGTTCATTCTAAAATATAAAATACAAAATATCAAAATTGCACAAACGTAAAGTCAACAGACATAGAAGTCATTGAATAAAACTACAAATTATATTCAGACAGTCACAAGAAAGCATCTTGGAAAAATTCTTCTGTGCTATAGTAGGCCTTTGATAATAGAAGCCTCTTAAGATGTACTCTAAATTTTTTACCAGATACTATCTGTCTCAGATGCAGTGGCAAATGGTTAAAGATCTTTTTACTTTGATAGATTATCGAGTTTTTTGTTTGTGTGGAGGAAGGGATAGGAAGGTTCACATTGTGTGTTTGTCGAGTGGTATGTACAGATGAAAATTCGTGTATGTTTTCCTTAAACTTTTTATGAACGAGACATGAAGTCTCTAGTAAAAAAATACTAGGAAATGTAAGCAATTTATGACGCAAAAACAATGGTCTACATGAGTCTCGTAATCCTATCTTAAACATATACCTTACCGCCCTCTTTTGCAACACAAACAACATATTAAAGAGAGACAATGAACAAAAACCCCAGAAACATATTCCATACCGCAAATGGGATTCAACAAGAGCAAAGTATGCACTTTTTGTTGTCCCAAGATCTAGCTTACTCGATATTACTCTGATTGCATAACATCCTGATGACACCTTTTTGCTCATGTATGTTAAGTGAGGCTCAAATTTTAGTCTATCGTCTATGTATACTCCTAAAAACTTACTCGATTTTTGACTGGCAACAGTATCTGCCCCTAAGGTAATTCCCTCAAAACCACATTTAAATGTTAACACATTTGTCTTCGACACATTAAAAGTTAAACAATTCGCATCAGTCCATTCTTTTACCTTAACTAAATCATTATTGATATCTGATTTAAGCTGTTCTACATCCTTATTTACCCAGAGAATCGTGGCATCATCGGCAAACAGTGTAAATACCCCAACTATATCAATGCTAGACAGATCGTTGATGTACAATAAAAATAATAGAGGTCCCAAAACAGATCCTTGTGGAACTCCTGCACTTATAGCCAGTTGTTCTGAATCAACACCATCAAAAGTAACTCTCTGTGCCCGTTCAGAAAAGTAGGACTCAAACCACTTTAGAGCTACCCCCCTCACCCCATAGGCTTCCAGCTTACATAACATTATTTTATGATTGACACAGTCAAAGGCCTTTGACAAATCACAAAAAACCGCTGCTGCGACATCACCGTTATTTAATCCCAAATATAGTTTCTCCAAAAATGCGAAAATTGCATCATTTGTGCCACATGACTCCCGAAATCCAAACTGTTCACAACAGAGAATACTATGTTTTTTAAGAAAACACATTAAACGCGCCTTGACTAGCTTTTCTATTACTTTAGACATTGTAGGCAACAATGAGATTGGCCTAAAATTTGAGGGTGTATCGCAGTCACCACCCTTGTGAAGAGGTAAGACCCTTGCAAGTTTCAGACAGGAAGGGAAAATCCCTGATTGAAAGGACTGATTCACAGAATCAGCAAACACCTCTAGAACCGATTCGGGCAAATGCGAAAAGACCTTCAGCGTAATCTCATCCCATCCCGCAGAATTTTTATTTTTAATATCTTTTAAGGTGTCTCTGATTTCTTGTGTTGTAGTAGGTTTAAAGAAAAAAGACTCGGATACGCTTATGTGACTTAGATATTCTCTAGGGTTAGTCCCAGAACTAATTTTGCTAGAAAGAGAAGCCGCAATCGAACAATAAAATTTATTAATTTCCGTGGCAGTCAAATTTGAGTCCATTGGTGAAGTATTCTTTTTTCCTCTTAAGTTTAAATCAGCTAAAAACAATTCCAATTCTGAAACTTTGTTTCTCAAAGATTGTATATTTAACAACACTAGGTCAAGTTTTTTACCACTTGACCCCTGTCTAAAAAAGGTGTATTGACTAGTGCATTGAGGCTTTTTGTTTGAATTTCAATATTACTATTATCCAAGTCTCCCTGCATACAATTACTGACATGACTATCCAAACTTTGGACATAAAAAGGAGAGGCACTACATTCAATGGTAATCGGAACCGATTTCAAAACTAATTTTCTACCAAGAACTACACTAGTTTCAACATACAAAGCGAGCAGTTTGCTCAGCGACCGAAGTGTGTGTCTGTATCTAGAATTTGTACATGTATTTGAAATTAGTCTTATACTACAATTATTTTTTTGAACATATTCTGACACAAACCCACTCAATTTATGAAATCTTGCCTCTGGATAATCCCTAAAATTACACTTCAACATTAATACTAAATTCGTGGTACTACCCATAGAAAGGATCCTCCCAATATCAGCGATACTAGGGGATGTAGAATTTAAATTTAAACTTACAACAATTGTATCATTTTCAGTCAAATCAAATGATAATAAGAACATCCTTTCCACAAGACTTTTCATATTAAGTCCATTATAAACATACCCTTTTATCATGTGAGATGAATTCACAAGTTTAGACATAGTCGTGGACAGGGATCTTGCGCTAAAGTCTCCGCAAACAATGCATTTTCTGGGCACACAATAAGAAGCATTCGCCCGATGTCTCGCAGTTTCCATTTCTTTATCCAGGGTGATGCAGTCTTTCAACACACTGTTGTCATTTATCAGAGTAAATGAGTCATCTGCGGCAGTGGGTTCACAACACTTTGCAAGATCTTCTGAGGGTCTAGCTCCAATTAAAGACTGTTGATGCCCTATCATCTCCAAACTATCACACCTAGATTTAGTTGTTTTTAATTCCTCTTTAGCATGTAGTAGGTTTACTTTCGCACTCTTCAGCTCTTCTAAGTAGGATTTCTTTTCTTCTGAGAGCACTTGGATGGTGGTCAGCATATTCTTGTTGGTTTCAGTTATGTCCCCAAGATCCCCTTCAAGTCTACTGACAGTTAATCGACATTCCTTAAGCTGTTTATCTAAGTCCAAATTAACAGTGATAAGATTGGATACATTCTGATTAAGTTGAAGTATTTCTCCTTTTTGATCATTAATTTTAGCTGCAAGTTCCTGTTCTGTGTTGCAAGCGATATTCTCAAAATCTTGCGTTCTCCTGTTAATCCTCTTAATGTGATCAGCTTTAGCTTTATTATCAGCATGAAGCTCATCAATTTCGTCTTGAAGTTCATGCGTTTCCTTGAAGCATTTGTCCTCCAGCTCCTCGAACCTTTTATCCTTTTCAGCAGATTCCTGTTTTATTTTCTCATAGTTTTCCAAGAGTGTTTTATACTTTGTTGAGTCGCTAATATGCTCCTTCAATAATATCTTGCATCCTTGGCAGAAAAAAATCAAATTTCTTTGGGCAAGGGAGACAGCATGAGCCTCTGTGGTTGTTAGTTGAGCACATAATTTACAGAAAACTTGTTGACATAGGTCGCAAGCTGAGCCAAAAACCTCATCCTCCTTTGGGCGGCTCTTAAAAACACAGTCACTCGAACAGGTTTCACACTTAATAGAAGCCATACTCAAACTTAGAATGTGCCTTTATAAGGTAGATAAGTTTCAAATCTCCGTCCATGCGAAAGCTCTTCCAAGAATTTCAAACTAATTTATTATTTTTTCTTCCCCAAGTGACAGTAAAAGCGGCCTTTTAATGACACTTTCCATTTTTATTTTTATTCCCCAAACTTTCTGTAAATGCAAAATAAACAAACACAAATTCTGCATTAAACTTTAACTTTGAAGAACTGGATCAATGGCAAGGTAATTAGGCCAAGTTTACAAAAATTTACAAAAATACGCGCACAGCACAACGAAAACAAACACAATGATGTGATGCAAAACAAAACAAATCAATTCAAAACAAATCAAATTTGCAATACTCTCGGAGCTGCCGAACACGACCGTCCGGTACGACTGCTCGAGCTATTGTCCTCCAAAAATGCATAATCTCACTGTTGCCAGTTGTTTGCGTATAATCACACCATACGCAATAGCATGTTCTAGTGACTTTGGATTTTGTTGGAATATACCTCTGAGCGCATATACCAAATCGCTGGTCTTATGTGAATTTCATTAATTAGCCTCTCAACGTTCAAATTTTCCATAATTTTATTCTAACTGGCAACGCTGATGTTTTTTTTCAATTTCAATTTCAAGCAAGCTTTATTGTCTAAAAATGTAGATTTTCATTGACAAAGCAAGAGTAATAATAAAATAAACAAAACAATAAGTATATTTTGATTGATTGATTGATAATAAAACAAGTAACATCTCAAAGGGGTAATTTTCCTTATGTTCACGAAAATCAAAAAACCGTACTAGAACCGCTCGACGTGTGTTTCTTTCCATAAGCGAACAGGGAATAATGCGCCGAGCCTGTGCCGACTAGAGTCGTAAAACCGTGCTGGGCACATGATAGCCAGCAGGGTACGCTTGGCCACCGCTCGGCAGCCGCCTCCAACAAGACACCGTCTGGTTCATACAATAGAAATGTCATAAACAAGACGCCGCTTTGGTAACCGACTCGGCAAAAACCGCTGCGTGTGTTTTAGGATGACTAAGCCAAAACTCATTCATTTCAATTTGTCAAAAAAAATAACATATATCCCAATGACCTATGACATCGGATTGTGAACAGATAATATATAAAGTTAGCAGTGCAAACATACTATGACTGAAAAAATTATTGCTAATCATGTGCTAATTAAATGCCATGTTCACAAATTTCATGCTCTTGTAGTTTCCGAGATATGGCCTGCACTGCTGGGCTACCCGTTAAAGATAGCAGTGCACCATCCAGAAATGATCTAGAAAAGTGGTAGGGTGATCTAATTGATGAAGAAAATTAAATGCTAATTAAATGCTAGCATTTTCATGAACAAAATCTCTATTTTCAGTTTTTTTCGCATATTTTTTAAAAACAACGCGGTGCACTGCTAGCTTTATGCAGTACATACCCTGTGTCCTTAAAGTAACGGATAAATTCATTATTTTGAAAACGATAGAATTTTTGAAAAATCGCTCAGGCCTCAGACACGTCAATTTTGTATTTTTGTTTGAAATTCTTTGATATATTTTTCATTATACAGGGTGTCTAAAAAATTGTTCCGCTGCTATCAACTTTGTTTTTTCAAATGGATCATCCTATTTATTATGACATTTATGGATTCTGCGGAAAATTTTTGACATACTTCATGTACAATGTTATATACCTATCTTCAACTGCGAGTTCAACTGTTTCGAAAATATTGACAGTTGAAAATTGATTTTTTTGCAACTTTAACAGGCTGTAAAACCTGAACGGTTAATTTTAGAGGAAAACCGATCTTACATTCCTGTCTTAGATTTTCATAAACTATCATTTGACACCAACTTTGAATTTACCCAGAGATTATAGTAAGGTGGGGCAAGTGCATTTGTGGGGTAATTGCAATCACTTAGGCCCCCCGCTAGCATAAGCGCAAAGGCATGCGACGCACGCGGGCGGCATAGCAAAGGGGCGGCAAATCGCATGAGAAAAAAATATATAAAAAAAAATATAATTTATTATATTTAATAATTAAATTTTTTTCCTAAAGTGTTTCAATTATTTTCCTTTTTATTCAAAGGCCAGGCACCTGGTACCTGATTTTCGAAACGCCCAGCGCTCGTCTGGAACAAGTGCCCTGTCCTTCTCAGTTCCATGTAAATCTTATACATATGAGTGACAAAGACTGAAAATTATTAGAACCCAGTCCTGCGCCATCGGGCGTATCGAGAATCAGGCTGCAGGTCGCCTCTTAGCTCCATACAGTCAATTGTCCAATTTTCCTGTTAAATTTTCCTCTTGGTTCTTGCAAAATTACACTGGATTATTATCAATTACTTATGCAGTTCAGACTTTTTATTAAAAAACCATTTAAGATCTACAATGTTACAAAAAAGGTTATCTGGATTAGCGATTTTGTCCATAGAATGTGATCTTTTAAATACTATTTATTTATTTATTTATTCATTTATTTACATATAAGAAAAATACATTTGAAGTTGAACAGAGTTTAAATCTAAAAAAAAAATCTAACCTAAAACAATTCTCCTGGCCTTTGTCCTAAATTTATCCAGAGATAAACCAAAGAATTCAAGGCCCTCACAGAACTTATTTACATTGGCAGATATTCTATTCACAGGACTGAATAGTAAGTACCAGGTTCGACAGTAAGGAATGTGCAGTAAAGATTTACTTCGTGTCTGATAACTTTGAATGTGTAGATTAAAACATTCAAGACATTCGTGGCTTTTTATGTAGTAGTTAAGAATTTTAAATGCAAAACAGACATCAAAATATTCCCTTCTGCGAACTAAACTGCTGGACAATTGCTTTCGAACAAGGTAAATATCGCCTAACTTTCAAGCTCGATATTTTTGGAACCAGACTAGATATCGACCTGCGGTTTTCACGGGCTGACAGATTGACTTTTTGTGAAAAAAATTGCTATTTTGAATTTTTTTTAAATGTCTACTTTTTTTTATACAGGGTGTTAAAAGAGTCCATGTTTTTTATCCCAATTTTGAATGTGTGTAACTTTCTCAGATAATTTTTTTAATTTTATTTTTATGCCGCGTTTTAATCAATGATCTTCTGCAAAAAAAGTAATTTCTCAAATTTTTTATACCTGCCTTAGTTTTAAAAATATCGACTTTTTTTCATAACCTCCACTTTTTTCAACTTTTAAGCACCTAAACCATCCTGTACAATAAATCTTGCATCTTATGCTGCTGTTTGATATACCCCACGATATCCCGGTCTATTTTCAATGAAAAAAAATTACTTAAATAATGTGGTGTCCAGTAGCGTACTAATAATCGCCCATTTTCAGAATAATTTATTAATGGCTCACCGAATTTTACATTCAAAGGTGCATAATTTTAAAAATAATCATTTGAAGTTACATTTGTTTAGTTCACTTCAATCATTGACATATTATTAAGAAACCAATTTCTCAAAATTTTGATATTTGCCTTGGTTTTTAAAATATCGTTTATTTAACATAACCATATTAATTTTTTCGATTTTTCCGTTCTAAACCATCCTGAATCGTTCTTGCCGGTGAATTTTTTTAGCAATTGTTATACGTTTCAGCCAGAGTATTTACTATGATTAAAAATATCGAATACCTCAATGATATGCTGTACAGTGGCGTGCAAAGAGAAATTATTATTTTTCATTAAATCAATTTTATTAGCAATTGTTAAGTATATCTTTCGATTAGCGTATTTTTATGATTAAAAATTTCGAATACCTCAATGATGTGCTATACAGTGGCGTGCTAATAATTATTTATACCACTGATAAAATTTAAATATTCGGAACCGATTCCGTTGTGATGAGAAGAAACCCGAATTTTTATCACCTGCTAATTTTCTTTGTAGCTTGATGTTTAAAGGTATTTCAATTGAAAATTCTTCCACTAATGGTAGCAGTATCACAAAATAAAGTTAAGGATGGTAAATTACATTATCTGCCAAACAAAAAATTAGATGAACAACGTTAATGCTTCTTTAAGTTCATTCAAAGCAAAATACAAAAAATGTTCCTATAGGTTTTTTACGTTATGTTTAGGATGACGTCGTAGAACAAGGACTGACAATGTTGCCAATGCCTATTTTTTTCCTTATAATTTACCAGAATGTAATAAAAAATTATCAAGACCACTGACAGCTAGAAATAACAAAATGAATCGACACGTGTTATTTATTTGGAAATGTTTATTCAAATCATACTTCAAAATCTCCTGATCTTGTGTGGTCTCAGCTTAAGTTACTGGTATGATCGCGCGAAAATGCTCCCAAACGCTGGATAAGTTCGCACCTACCATAGAGGAAGAGTGGCAAAATATCCCTCAGGCATTCATTAATCTCTTGGTTGAGAACATGCCACAGCGATGCCAAGAGGTTGTGAATGTGAGGGGAGGGCTAACTAGCTATTAATTAAATAACTTTGATTATCGGCCTTTCTTTATTAATTTTTTTAGTTTGCGTTGTTTATTACTTAACTTTTAGGTCACTTTGTTGTTGTTATTGAATCTTACTTTGATTAGTTTTTTAGTTCACTTACTTTGATTCGTTTTACCTAGGTATCTACCCATTTCCCAACCTCATATTTTGAGGTTGGGAAATGGGTGATAAGCAAAAATTTCGCCAAGTAAAAAACAGTGAAAATAAGTGTAGTTATTGTAAGAAAAACGTCTCAGAGTTTAGTGAGTGTGAAAACTGTGAGGAGAAATACCATCCTAGCTGTTCAGCCAGGGTAGCTAAACATAATAGTGGAAAAAAATTTGTCTGTTGTGATATTGGCAAGAGTGAGGTTAGACCACCAAGCACAACACGAAAAAACAGCGAAAAATCGGACAATTGTTTGGAAATGGACGAAAAAAGGCTTAGGGAGATTATTAAGGAATCATTTAAAAGCTACCTGGGCCCATTTGAGCAGAAAATTGATAAAAAAATTACTGAATTTGGGGCCTCAATTCAATTTATGTCTG